TACTCCTGACTCTGGCTTTTTAAGGCGTCTGGGTTCCGATATATAGTTTTTACATTTGTACTCACAATAAAAACATAAGCAACCCTAACATGGGAGTAAGAAATGAACATGGAACAGCAGACTGGTTCAGGACTGGGAACGGTGTATAGCAGGGTTGTATATACTCACTATTCAACTTTTATACAGAACACATCGTGCAATGTGCGAGGCTGGGGTTAAAATTGCTGGAAGAAACATTAACAACTTTAGATATGCAGATGATACCACTTTGATGGACAAAAGCAAGGAGGAGCTGAGGAGCCTTCTAACCAAGGTGAGAGAAGAAAGTGCAAAAGCTGGGTTGCAGTTAAACATTTAAAAAATCCAAGATTTTGGCAACTGGACTGATTGATAACTGGCAAATAGAGGGAGAAAACATGGAGACAGTGACAAACTTTATATTTCTAGATATTTCAAATCAGAAGACATTTACTTCTTGGGAGGAGAGCTATGACCAATCTCAATAAAATAGTGAAGAGTAGACACATCACAATGGCAATGAAGATCCGCACAGTTAAAGCAATGGTATTCCCCGTAGTAATCGACGGATGTGAGAGCTGGACCATAAGGAAGGCTGAGGGAAGGAAGATAGATGCTTTTGAACTGTGGTGTTGGAGGAAAAATCCGAGATTGCCTTGGACCACAAGAAGATCAAACCAGTCCATATTTCAGGAAATAAGGCCTGACTGCTCATTGGAGGGAAGGATATTAGAAGCAAAGATGAAGAACTTTTGCCACATCACGTGAAGACAAGAAAGCTTAGAGAAGACAATGGAAGGAAAAAGGAAGAGGGGCTGACCAGGGGCAAGATAGATGGATGGTATCCTTGAAGTGACTGGCTTGACTCTGAAGGAGCTGGGGGTGGTGATGGCCTCCGGGGAGCTCTGGCGTGGGCTAGTCCATGAGGTCATGAAGAGTTGGAAGCAACTGAACAAATAAACAACAACAACAAACATGGAAGTTAAAATGTTTAAAACAAAGCCATTATTTTGATTACTAGGTGTTCAAAAACATGTTGTTCTTTGTACAGAAATAAATCAATTATGGATATCTCACTACAAGATCATTAAGGGCCCTTCCACACAGCCCTAAATCCCAGTCATCAAGGCAGAAAATCCCACAATATCTGCTTTGAACTGGGTTATCCAAGGCCACATGGCCATAAATTCCAGTTCAAAGCAGAAAATGTGGGATTTTATTCAACTGTGTGGAAAGGGCCCACAACTCATTTAGGTGGCTGTTTCTTAATTGTCGTGAATTTCAACTTCCTTTATTGGTATTTTGGAAACTTGGCAACACTAAAATAGGCAACCCCATAAATGTTTTTGGACTGGGTTGCTGTAAGTTTTTTGGGTTGTATGGCCATGTTCCAGAAGCATTCTCTCCTGACATGTCGCCTGCATCTATGGCAAGCATTCTCAGAGATTGTGAGGTCTGCTCCTTCCTCAGTCTTTGCCAGCCAAACCAATGGGGAGGGATGATGGGAGCTGCAGCCTAAGAATATTTAGGTCACACTCTGATATTGTCTATGGGATCTCTCTCAAGTAACACTGCCAAAAGACTATGTAGCTGTGCAGCTATGTATATATTAAATAAACAAGTGAGAAGACTCAGCTTCATCCTTTCCATTCATAAGGTATATACAGTGAGTGATTATTGTGCAAAATGTAGCCTCTGAGATTTAGAGAGCAGACAGAAATTCATTAACATGTCAATCAGAGTTAAAGCACAATCCGTTTACGACTAAACACCGTGAGATATTCTCTCTCTGATTTCCAAAGGGAACGGGATGCAATCATAGATGAATAGTAAACTTGGTGAGAAAGGCAAGTCAACATCCTTGGATTACCATATTAAATAAATGTTTAAATGCCTCAAAAAACGGACTTTGATGAGTTTAGTGCAGGCTTTTCAGAAAATGCAAACAGATTTGCCAAATGCAGCCCTAGAAGCTATTTGAATGATACAGACTTTTCTGAGAATGAAATAGTAAGGACTATTTAGAAATTTTTTTTTGCCCCACCTTTTAATAGCATATTTACAAGTTACCTCCTTGCATTACAGTAATAAAAAAGGACCATGCCTGCAGGGCCTCAGGCCTAAGCAAGAAGGGAGGATACCATCACCAGGGGTTTTGAGGGAAGGGGCAGTGTTTGTTTCCCTTGCTGCTTTTGGCTCAGGTTCTCACTCAGCCTCTGGGGACTACTTGGTCCTGCTGGACTCTATCTTGACTGGCTTGCATTTCAGCATCCATGGGTCTGCATAAAGATACCGACATTTGTTTCTTCTAGCTGTAGCCCTTGATTCAGCTGGACCCTCTCTCAAGTGAACACTGCCACCCCGGTTTGGAGTCTCATTCCTCCCCTAATGGAACACCTGCTCCATTAAAACCATGTTTTAATCTGTCTTATTGCATTTATATGTTTTGTTTTATAATTTAATATGTTATATTTATTATTTGTTGTATAATGCGGCATTCACTTCACTTCACTTCAGATTCACTACAGATTATGGCATTGAATTTTGCCATAATCTGTAAACCGCTCTGAGTCCCCTTTGGGGTTGAAAAGAGCAGGGTATAAATATAGTAAATAAACAAGAAATTGACAGAAAAGGCAGTTCAATACACGGTAACGTTATGTCGTAATTACTGTATTTACAAATTTAGCACCAAAACATTGCAATGTATTGAAGCAGCAGTGGATCCTGGCGGGAGGCAGACTGCGTTGGATAATACAGAATGCTGGATGAGTGAAGGTTGGATAAGCGAGAATCTGCTGTATTATATTCTTAGCATGGCACAATATTAGTATTCAATATTACTATATTGTACTATACCACTATACTGAAATATTATTAGTAGTTTTACATGTAATATATCATTATTATATTATTATATTGTACAATATTAGTATATCACAATATATTTAACACACTAACGGAATATTATACTATTAGTTTTATATAATATATTGTACTATATGATAAGTTGCATATATAATTAGCTGTCCCCTGCCATGCGTCTGTCTATATATGCTTTGTGTGTGTATATATGTGTATATATGTGTGTTTGCGCATATATATGTGGTTTTGCCTCCAGTGGCACAGTGGGTTAAAGCACTGAGCTGCTGAGCTTGTTGACTGAAAGGTCGCAGGTTCGATTCCGGGGAGCGGCGTGAGATTCCGCTGTCAGCCCTAGCTTCTGCCAACCTAGCAGTTCGAAAACATGCAAATGTAAGTAGATCAATAGGTACCGCTCCAGCGGGAAGGTAACGGCGCTCGATGCACTCATGCCGGCCACATGACCTTGGAGATGTCTATGGACAACGCCGGCTCTTCGGCTTAGAAATGGAGATGAGCACCACACCCCAGAGTCAGACATGACTGGACTTAATGTCAGGGGACAACCTTTACCTTAAACTATGTGGTTTTGCACATGCGTTGTAATGTGGTTTTTTTTGGGGGGGGGGTGCTTTTTAAGTCCCTTCTGCTGTGTTTTTATGAGTGATGGACACTCGTTGGACTGATAGGTGTATTGTGTCCAGATTTGGTGTCAATTCGTCCAGTGGTTTTTGAGTTACGTTAATCCTACAAAAGAGCATTACATTTTTATTTATAAGTTTCAATGTTGTTGTTTGTTGTTCATTCGTTCAGTCGTCTCCGACTCTTCGTGACCTCATGGACCAGCCCACGCCAGAGCTCCCTGTCGGCCGTCACCACCCCCAGCTCCTTCAAGGTCAGCCCAGTCACTTCAAGGATGCCATCCATCCATCTTGCCCTTGGTCGGCCCCTCTTCCTTTTGCCTTCCACTTTCCCCAGCATAATTGTCTTCTCTAGGCTTTCCTGTCTCCTCATGATGTGGCCAAAGTACTTCAACTTTTTCTCTAGTATCTTTCCCTCCAGTGAGCAGTCGGGCTTTATTTCCTGGAGGATGGACTGGTTGGATCTTCTCGCAGTCCAAGGCACTCTCAGCACTTTCCTCCAACACCACAGCTCAAAAGCATCGATCTTCCTTCGCTCAGCCTTCCCTAAGGTCCAGCTCTCACATCCGTAGGTGACTACAGGGAATACCATGGCTTTGACTAGCGGATCTTTGTTGCCAGTCTGATGTCTCTACTCTTTACTATTTTATCGAGACTGGACATTGCTCTCCTCCCAAGAAGTAAGCGTCTTCTGATTTCCTGGCTACAGTCTACATCTGCAGTAATCTTTGTGCCTAGAAATACAAAGTCTGTCACGGCCTCCACATTTTCTCCCTCTATTTCCCAGTTGTCAATCATTCTTGTTGCCATAATCTTGGTTTTTTTGATGTTTAGCTGCAACCCGGCTTTTGCGCTTTCTTCTTTCACCTTGATTAGAAGGCTCCTCAGCTCCTCCTCGCTTTCGGCCATCAGAGTGGTGTCATCTGCATATCTGAGGTTGTTAATGTTTCTTCCAGCAATTTTCACCCCAGCTTTGCATTCATCAAGCTCCGCACATCGCATGATGTGTTCTGCATACAAGTTAAAAAGGTTGGGTGAGAGGATGCAGCCTTGCCGTACGCCTTTCCCAATCAAACACATAGAAGCATAAAATTAGAAAGGATACAACAGGCCTGGGCAAACTTGGGCCCTCCAGGTGTTTTGGACTTCAATTCCCACAATTCCTAACAGCCTCAGGCCCCTTCCTTTTCTCCCTCAGGCCTGGGATACAATAGAGCAGCAGCAACACAAGGATGGCCTGGTCATTATATGCAGCAGTAATAAGATAGTTTCAGATCAGGAGTAATGATTGGCACCAAGCAATAGTTGACAGTGTTGCCAAAAGTCTCTCTCCATTGAATTCCAAGTTCACCAAAGATAGAACATAGGCAAGGAGAGATCCTTCCTCCTCCCCCTCCCCTCCGCGCTGACGTAACGTTCCTTCCTATTGGCTGAGGAAGCTCTGCCTTGGAAGCGACGCTTTTAACGTGCGCCCGCTCTATGACGTCATCAGAGCGGAACCCGGAAAAGAGCAGCGCGGCCTCAAATCAAGGCGGCAATAACACTCCGGCCTCGCCATGAAGGAAACGCCGCTGTCCAACTGCGAGAAGCGCTTCCTGCTGAAAGCCATCGAGGAGCGGAAGGTGCGTTAGCGAGAGAGAGAAGAAGGGGACTGTAGTCATGGGTCAGACTCAAGAGTGGACCCGCACTGTAAATTTAATGCGGTTTCATGCCACTTTGGCTTAATCCCGGGAGTTGTAGTTTGGTGAGGCGACAGCACTATTGGGCAGACGAGGCTAAAGGGCTTGTAAAACGACCACTCTCCGGATTAATGGCCTCAAACTGCGTTAATTCTGCAGTGTAGATGCATCTCCAGCCACATATTAGGAAACTGAAATGTCGAAGCAAGGTTTGAGGACAAAAGAGATCAACCTGATTCTGTAGTTTTCAGGAGTCAGTATTAAAATCCACTCTCCAGCCCTGAATGGTAGAAGTCATCCCAGGGGAATTCCAGACTATAAACAATCAGGGCCAGCTAATCAACCTCCCAACAAAGGATTTCCCCAGGCAGGAAGCAGCCAAGCCTTGAAGCTGCAAGGCTATTCAGCGCAAAGCAAGGTGATCAATTGCAGCATTCATACTTGCCTCAAGCAGACAAGAGTTCTTTCTCCCGCCCTGGACATTCCAAGAGATATAAACTCTGGTTTCTAACAGACCCCTCAGCCTCTGAGGATGTCTGCCATAGTTGTGGGTGAAATGTCAGGAGAGAATGCTTCTTGAACATGGCCATACAGCTTCCCTGACAACCAATTAATTTTGAACTCTGAATTTCAAGTTTGCATTCTATTGATATATTTGTTATATTAATGTATTTTGGTAAATGTGTTTTGGCTGTTTTTTATCCCCACCTTGAGTTGTGAGGAGTAATGGGCAACAAATGAATTATTATTATTATTATTATTATTATTGTTAACTTCACTGATGCGACACTCTGGTCTTCTTTATACTAAATATTATAGAATTTTGATACCTCTTTAGCTGGCATGGTGCCTTCCTGTGGAATCTTTCGGTTTGCATTTAGGGAAGGGTTCTTTGAATTCTCTGCCAGAGAGCTTTATTTACTTATTTATTTATTTACAGTATTTGTATACTGTTTTTCTCACCCCGAGGGGGACTCAAAGTGGTTTACTGTTGCCTCACCAAAGTACCCAAATTCTGTAGGATCCGTTTTTGCAAGTTAAAGTAGTATCAAAGTACACTAACTGTGTAGTGTGAAAGACACCCAGTGTGTCAGATTCATCTATAATCTTCTTTCCTGCTTTGTAGGATTTCAGTGTTATTAATGGCTGCTGTAGAGGGGAAAGTCAGCCCCTGAAGATGAGTTATGGAAATGCCGAAATAAGGAAAATAATTACCTCTGTACCATATAAGTGGATTTAGGCATGCAAACTCTTCACAGTTGGCAAACCTAGAGTTCAGGACTGTAAGAGTGGGTTTCACTGTGTACATATAATTTAGTGTTTTGAATGTGATTTTCCTGCTTCTTGGCCAGGGGTTGGACTGGATAGCCCATGAATTCTCATTCAATGCTATGATTCTATTATTCTAGTTGACTTTTTCCACAGTCCCATATTTCACATCTGTAATTTTAGCTTGTTTTGTCTTTACAGCGTCTTGATGGACGAGAGTGCTATGACTACAGAAATCTTCGCATCTCCTTTGGCTCTGACTATGGCTGCTGTATTGTGGAGCTTGGAAAAACGAGGTACCTCAGAATAGGGGATATGGCCATCACTTATTGATTCCTCCTACCTTGTTGCACATGTGGCTATCTGCCTTCAGTTGATGCCTTCGTTTGTCCTTAACTGAGACAAATGACCAAGTTACTGTCTTGATAACTACAATGTGGAAATGAAAAGTGTACATGAAAGGATTATGTGCAAAGGACCATAACTTACTAAGAGCACAAAGTTTGCATGATGAAGTTTTCAGCATTTTTAGGTAACAAAACCTCTGCCTGGAACCTGGAGAATTCAGACAACACTGACGGACTTAGACCATCTGACTCAGGCCCCTTCCATATAGCTGAATAAAATCCCACATTGTCGAATATATGGCAGTGTGGTCTCAGATAATCCAGCTCAAAGCAGATATTGTGGGATTTTCTACCTTGATATTTTGGGTTATATGGCTGTGTAGAAGGGCCCTGTATTTATACTCCACCTTTCTTCCAGAGTGAGATCCAAAACAGCTTCCAAAAACAGTGTTAAAACACGTATCACAAAATGGTAAACATTCAGTGTTCCACATCTGCATTTTCTATTACTATACAGGGAATCATATGCATAATATCATTGTATGTCTTCTGGCAATTAATTGTATCAAGTTAATGTCAACTCTGAATAAGACAATGTGAATTTTAGAACGCCTTGTTATTTTAAACATGTAAGCAATCAGTTGAAATTTTACTCTTAAAGTTCGCCTATGTGGTGGCTTTTCTCTTTGTAGGATTCTTGGACAAGTGTCCTGTGAGCTTGTCACCCCAAAGCCAAATCGTGCGACGGAGGGCATACTTTTCTTTAATCTTGAACTCTCTCCTATGGCATCACCTGCATTTGAGCCTGGAAGGTATGTGACCCTACTTCTCCCTAGTAATAACATTCAGTGCTTCCTCAAGAAATGTTTTGTCTTTCTTAATTATTTGTAACTAAAGGTTTATTTTTTAATTCTAGACAGCCTGAGTTACTTGTAAAACTGAATCGACTGTTAGAAAGATGCCTAAGGAATTCGAAGTGTATAGATACTGAATCTCTCTGTGTTGTTGCTGGTGAAAAGGTGTGTAATAGCATTAATTATAAAAATATATTTTAATAACTCTAAAAATTAAGTTATTTGACTTAACCATATTGCTTGTTTCCATTTGAATCCATGTGGAATTCGGAGACATATCTATCATCCCCTTTGATTAAATGGGTCTCTTTTTTCTTCCATCTTTGTATTTTTTATCGATAAAATAAAGATGGTTGAAAATAGAATAAAATTATAAAACATTATTTAAACCATCGAATACCTAAGTACTGTTTGTATCCTAAGCTGAGTTGTGGTTTCATCATAGAGTGATATCAGCAGAACTCTAATTTGAATCCTATTCCCTGAATCTGCTTAGAATGTGTTTGGGACTGAATTCTGAGCATTTTTTATTTCATGTCAAAAGCATTGCATAAAGTATAAAACTGATAAAATAGAGGGAACACAAGCGTCTAAATAGTTTTTGACCAAAAATTGGCAACAGTAACCACATTGTCTGTAGCTTTAATCCATTCTTCCACAGTGCATGAGGCAGGGCATTGTGGGCAAGCATATAGATGCTAAGTTGTTTGTTCTGCTCCACAGTGGCACAGGGTAGAAGATTCTTCTAGGATGGTAGTGCTATTCACTACCATCCTATTCTGCCCATTCCAGTTTTGAGTCTATTCAGGGACTTCCAAGTTGCCAATTTTTTTAAGGCTAAGGTTTAATTTCCTATGTTTGTATAGTTAGTAGCACATATGAAATACTTTTATAATGAGAAGTGTGATTATTTATGAGGAAAATCCTGTGATTAATGTTTTGAGGTGTAATATATTAATGCAAATGAGGCTTTCATTTTAAGGACATTTCTTGTGAATATATACAATATTTGGCATGAATAATCTAGATTTTTTAGATCACTGTTAATGGAGAAATATATTGTGCTACTATGACTTCAGCTCAACATTTCTCAGTATCTCTGACAGAAAAAAATGTGTTTAATACTCTTTTCCCTCATTTCCACTTGATGGAAAGCTGCTAAAAGCTAGAATGGCTATATGAACACAACAACAGTAATCAATACACTCGCATGAATTTTGCCCCATTGCTAAAGAATCATGTTTTCTGTAGTCTTTAACAAGGATCTACTCAGTGAGGAGAGAATTAAATTGTCTTTTTTCCTTCTTAGGTGTGGCAAATTCGTGTGGACTTGCATGTGCTGAACCACAATGGAAACCTTATTGATGCTGCAAGTATAGCAGCAATTGTGGCCTTGTGTCACTTTCGGAGGCCAGATGTGTCTGTGCAAGGAGAAGAAGTAACACTGGTACTTTTCACCCTTGTTTTTTTTAGCAACTAACTGTTTGGTATTGTATGGTCTCCTTTTTAAAAAAACAAAAATTCAGAAGTTCCACCAAAGCATTTTTGTATTTACAAAGTAAGGCAACATATCTGAAACATCTGAACTGTGAACATGTTTATTGTACTATGTAACCTTTAAACAAGAGTATATACTTTTGCTTAAAGTCAGGTCAAAGTTCAGATTTTGGCACTTATTCCAAAATGCCTCAGATTGTCTATCAAAAATTGGCTGGTAGCTGTGTGTGAAATTTAGATGCCTACATAAAATAAATGGGTTAGAATTGGAAACTTGTAATAGTTTGTTTAGATATAAAGAGTTCTTAGTATTGATTTAAAAGATAAGCAGGAGACCATGCAGGCAAAAGCAAACATTTTTATTAGCAAACATTTATAGGCCCCCGAACCTTAACTCTTACATTTTTATTATATTTAATACAAAAAGTACAGGCCATATATACTCGAGTATAAACCGACCTGAATAAAAGACGAGGCGCCTAATTTTACCACAAAAAACTGGGAAACCTTATTGACTCGAGTATATGCTGTGGGTGGGAAATGCAGTAGCTACTGGTAAAGTTCAAAATAAAATAGATTCCAATAAAATTACAGTAATTGAGACCTCAGAAGGTTAAATGTTAAATGTATCTTTTCAATAATAACAGAGTATAATAATAAATGCAATAATAATAATAATAATAATAATAATAATAATAGAGTAAAGCAATAAATGTAATAAAATAATAACAGAATAAAATAATGAATACCTTTGCTTCGAGTATAAGCCAAGGGGGGTTTATACAGAGTTTATACAGAATTTTATGTGTTTTTGACTTACTAAACTTTAAAAAGTTTTCTTTACATTTTCTAGTTTATGGACAGAGACTAAAAAAATAATAATTCTCATTAAATTATTGATGGCACACTTGTGAAAAATTAAATCCATAAATGTTAAAACTTGCAAAAGTTGAGGTTCAGCTGTATTACTAATACATATGAATAGCTTAATGGTATGTAATTTTTTTTTTTTTTTTTGCTCTTATCAATAACTGGGAGTTACATTACAGTGGGCCCTCGGTATCAACTGTAGAAGTAACAAAACCTGTATAATGGGTTTCCTTGCTATAACATGGAAAAGGAGTTTCAGACTTTTTCTGTAACAATTCTCAGTATTTTCTGTCTTTTCTTTATGTTGGCTAAGTAAAATATTTTTGTATATTACATTCTTTAGTATACACCTGAGGAACGTGACCCTGTCCCACTGAGTATCCACCACATGCCTATCTGTGTAAGCTTCGCTTTTTTCCAGCAAGGGTAAGTTCACATTAATTCACTGAAAATACTTGCCAATGTTTCTAGAATTCATACACCAAGTGGTAGTTAGCAAGAGGCTTCTAAAATATAGAATAGGATGCCTCCTCTCTTTCCCTTCTCTTTTCTTGCTTTTTCTGATAATATGAATCATTTGGGAAGACAATTGTCAGAAATATGGCTAAAATGTGAAAAATCAGTATTATTCTATGTAGCATATCTGATTTTCACAGTAGTACCGATCTATAGTTGCTTGTGAAGTAGATAGAAATAAAGCTTCTATACATGTCAAATGTATTTATTGGTTTATCACAATAAAAATATTGTTTTGGCAGTTTATATAAAAGTCTTATTGTTTATTTGTTTCAAATGGTTTCAGGACCTTCTTGTTAGTGGATCCTAGCGAACAGGAGGAACGAGTTATGGATGGCCTCCTTGTGATTGCCATGAATAAGCACCGTGAGATTTGTACAATTCAGTCTAGTGGTGGAATTATGCTGCTAAAAGATCAGGTAATAATGTTTCTGAAAGGTCTATGTGGATCACTCTTTCCCCTTTTTGAACTGCCCATCTCCAACAATTGGTTGATACTTTACATATAATCATAGGATGATGCCATGATTCCAGTTTGAACAGGAAATGAAATTCAAAATTAGTGCATTGGAGATATATATATATATATATATATATAGAGAGAGAGAGAGAGAGAGAGAGAGAGAGAGAGAGAGAGCGAGCAGTTCAGCAAAATAGTATAAAAACCAATGTCTAAATGTCAGAAATAATCCACAAAATTCAAGGTACACGGGTACCTTCAAAAACCAGGAATACAAAAGCAAAATAAATCCAAAACATGAGATTCAGGAGTACGGAAGCATGGAATATGAGCAACAGGAAACCTGGAACTAGAAATCCCTTAGTAGGTTTGACTTGGCGAGAGATGTATCCTCAAACAACAATGTTGACTGCTCAGTAAAACTCCTGACCCCTTTAATATACACAAAAATCGTGTCTTTTCACATAAGATTTAGATATGGGCCTCTTTTCTGATAAGTGCTATGACCTTCGTATTATTTGTTGTTCAGCCCGAAGCCTACTAAAACTAGGTCTCCTATCAACAAACTCATTGCCATTATCTTGAAGCTCATTATTCTTGGCACCTGGAGTTTCAGCCTCTGAACTCCTTTCCCTAGAGATCTGCTCCAGTACATCCTCTGAAATGTGGACTTTGTTAGTTGGAGTCACAGACTGCTCAATTTTAGGACTTAAAATCTCAGGCCCAGAATCCCCATTAACAGTAATATCAGACACCACCATGGGTGAACTACAACAGACAGATACAATCAGTGTTAGTGTTAAATTTGCTGATTGTTGAAAATCTGACATTCTAGTAAAACACTCTCCCTCAAATGGTGTTAAAAGCATATTTTACACAAGTACAGTGAAGATGTCTCCTGTTACTGCTTTCTAAAAATGGTTATTGCACGAATAATCAATCTTATTAGCATGATGAAGTATTCATCATTCCTGTAGTCTTGCTGAGCTGAAAGTAAGCAGGCTGCTAGTGCTTGTTCCTAACAAAGTATCAGAAGTAAATGTTTCAATGTTCGACATTAGTTAAATGTAATAATTATTGAATTTCAGAGTTCAGAATGTAATACCCATTTAATAATAAAGATAATTACATATGAGTTTTAACATTTTTTAAAACACTTTTAAAGATTTAAGTTTTGACTTCAAATGGGCAACAGTTTTCATAAGCATCTTCAGTGGTACAGACACTAGAGCATCATGATTTGAGTTTATGTTATATTTTTTCTTGAGAATTAATCTCTTGCATTCACCCAGGTCATTATTTATGTATTGCAGGTTCTAAGATGTAGCAAAATAACAGGGGTTAAAGTAGCAGAAATTACAGAACTCATTCAGAAAGCCTTGGAAAACGACCAGAAAGTTAGGTGAGTTTTGAAAATGCTACTTGTTAAAGCAGTAATTCCCAACCTGTGATCTATGGACCACCAGTGGTCTGCAAGAACAAAAATATGGTCCGCAGCCTCACCATTACTACACCGTTGTCTCGAAACCATGCGGCAACAAGAACAACTGGTCTCGTGAAACCCTCTTATATTGCCGAGGCAACGGGGATGTCAGGAAGGAAGAGGCTGACTACCACAAAAGCTTACTACTACCACATCAGCTCTAGATTATTAAATACGGTTTTCTATGTGCAAACAGATGGTGACTACTGGTTGGCATATGTTCTGTATCAGAAACTAGAGCTGATGTGATCTGTCCAATGCAGTTTTCTGAATCAGCACCCCAAATAACCAAACTGAATCTGAAGTTGACTAAAAACTGATTCGTAACCCTTTTGGTACTGATGTTGGAGAGTGGTCCCTGATCAAAAAAATGGTTGGGAACCACTGTGTTAAAGGTATACTTGTATATCACTAAACTGTTGTCATTTAAATTAAGCTAAACATAATCTGTTGCATTTTATTTGCATTTTATTTTGTGGGTTTTTTTTAACAGACAAGTTATGTGATTAATATTTTCTTGAAATGTTATACATGATTTCAAACCAAATATTTCTATATGTACATTCACATCAGTATTTCATCAAATACCATATTATTTAGAGAAGAAAAACTTTAGTTTTTCTTATACAGTACATACATCTATTCTGAGCATCTCAATCTCTTCCACAGAGATTTCTTGCCCTGTTGACAGGTCACCTTGGATTTTGCACTAAGTAATTGTAATTGTCCTAATTCTTGACTATATTTGTGATGGCCAATGTGGCTATAAGTAAAATCTGATTCCAGGTCCCAGAATCATGTTGAATCTGGATCTTTAAAGCCTATGCAGTGACTTTCATGACAATAATTTCTACTTTACTTAGATGGGGACTATTCTTAGAATTACGATTTTTTAAAAAGAAAAATTACAACTTGTATTTCCACATTGTATATAGAAGGAGACCTTCCAGTTGTATTTTTATGAAACCACTATGTGAGGTTATCCAGAAGTTTTTCATATGATATTATGCCGTTCTTTCACTCATCTGTTGATTTCAGAGAAGTATAGAAATTCTGAATCATTGTCAGTTTTGGTCTGGAAAAAATCCAAATATATTCTGGGTACAGATTTACAATTTGTTCTGGATGAAATTGTCCCACAGAGAATCAAGTATGGAGTTTGTATTATCCCTTGATGCCTATACTGTTTGAGTGATTTAGCACTGCAATAATTTCCACAGTTTTAATCGGCTGTAGCAATAACAACAAAAAGGACCATGGGATTGTTAAAGATTAATCATCTAATAAGCTTTAATGAGGAATTGGTCCAAAGACAGCAAAGCTATCTCTAATAAAGTAAGATATTGCAGAACACTTGGTAATCAATGATTTCAAGTGCATTTTAAGTCTCTCTGGACACTTTGCCCTTCGTAGTCTTGCATACGTATCCATTAGTCATAGGCTGTAACCGTTTCAACCGTTTGTGTTTTCATACCAATTTTTTTCATTCGGATGACACGAAATGGTGCACCCCTCTCTGGTACGGAAGTAGCAGTGAAACAAAAGGAAAGTGGGAATGGTAACTGTTTAGTCGCCTGATTTTCAGTGCTCGGCTGCAAGCCCTGACAGGGAGAGTGCATGTGTGGCTTGCAGGCCCAACAAGCTCAGGGACTGCAGCCAAGGGCTGGTAGCTAAAACTGAGGGGAAGGGGAGCATGGGAAGCCCACCCATTGCTGCCAAGGGGACAAAAATATTCGGGGTTTTTTGGACCTGGGATGAAAATGCTCATTTGGAAAGGCGCCTGTTTTAAGGAAAGGTGCTCGAAAACAAAAAAGGGCCTTATGAATGAAACAAACTGAAACTGAGAGTAATTCTATACAAATGCACAAGACTAGTATCCATTTCCTATATGCATATTCCAGAGAGAATACCAATGATAAATTGGTCCTATTCCGCTTGCATTAAAGGTTAAAATATACTGTATGCTCAAATGAATCCTATCTTAGCCATGATATGAACATTGAAAGACCTGCTCTCTGGACTATCTTAGCTATTTCTGGAATACTTAGGACAGACTTTTTTCTACATTTTACCAGAGATAAGTAATTCTGTCTTCAGTGTGTTCTGTCAAGTCCTGCTTTTGAATGGATTCTGAAAATTGTTTTTAGGAAAGTCCTGCAATGCAAATTCTTCCATTTCTATGTTCATCTTTTTTTACTCATTTTCCTGTCTCAGTGGTGTTTATTGGTATCTAAGTTTGTGACTTGAATTCTGAGACAAGGATGAAATCTTTCAAATTAGATAATATAAAATGATGAGAATAAACTCATTTTTAACTTTTGTTGTATTTTTGTAACATGTCAGCTGATTTCTGGACTAATAATGTTTTCCTTCTTGATAGGAAAGAAGGGGGGAAGTGTGGATTCGCTGAATCTGTTCCTAACCAAAGAATAACTGCATTTAAGATAGAACAAGCCCCAGTGGACACCAAAGATGTACAAGAGCAAGCTGAAGAAATAATTGCCAAAGCATTTCCTCCTTCAGAAGTGTATCTTTTAAAAATTAGTCATTATATGAATGGTTTGGGATATTGGGCAGCACTCTTTTTACTTGGCAAGCTAGAAAGTCTGGTAGGCAACAAAACATGGCTTTTCTATTTGGGTGGCTCAGAATCTTTTGTGTGTGTGTCTGCAAAATGTTATAGAATTGTAGAATCATAGAGTTGGAAGAGACCTCGTGGGCCATCAGTCCAACCCCTGCCAAGAAGCAGGGGGTCATATAAATTAGTATCTAAAATGGTGAGGTTACAGTGATATGCAGCTGTGATAGGGAGTAGAAATCCAAGATACTTCATGAATAGCTCCAAACATTTAGCAAAATAATCTGCAGCTTGATTTGTATGCCATTCAGTGTTTGAATACTCCACTTCTCTACCAGTAACATAGAATCTGATCCTCATAATACAATGGAGGAGAAATGTGAGGGAACTGTATATGCTGGATTTTAAAGAATGTCCTATACAATTGTTGGTTTTTGTCAGCAGATAAGTATGCAACCCTCCAAAGCGCAGAGTAAAACATGGCACAAAGTCAAGACAGTTTCTGAGCCAGAAAACTCATCGAGTCAATTTTGATATTTTCAGGATATTTTCCTTAATGACTTTAGCGTGGCCACGCCAGTTTTGTGGACTTCTGGCACAGCCCAGATTGGAGAAGGACTTGAGAATTCATGGGGTGATTTTGAGGGATCTGAAAGAGAGGAGGAAGAAGATGAAATTGCTCAGGATGAACCTATAACAGTAGAAGACCAGAATATGGAAACTGGAGATGCTAGTGCCAGGACAAGGAAGCAGAAAGGTTGGCATGATTTTAAAAATTAAACAATGACTTTAAAATGTTTTGTTTTTTTAATATTGTGACAGCAAAAATTTTTCTTTTTTGCTATATATTAAAAATGGGGAATAGGGAAAAAGAAAAAGTTGGATATAGTCCAAGGAGAAAAAAAAATTAACTTCCAATCTTCTCCATAGGTTTTCTCTTTGTCGTGTTTTCTAATTTTGCTTTGACACTCTTCACTCTTCGTGTCTCTTCCTCTTTGAAGCTGGTTTTACTTCCAATGTGTAAATTCTTCTAATCAATTCATTTTCTCTGTTTTCATCAACTGTATCTATTAGGGCTGTCCAACCATGGAAAAATTTGTTTCTAAACTCGATTCGTTTTTAGGGGGTTTTTGCGTTTCGTTTTTTAAAAGAATTCCGAAATTTTGGAAATTACGAAACAATTTCGAAACAATAATGAATCGATTCGTTAATGGCGGACGTGATTGCGCAATACGCTAAAAAACCCTCCAAATGGGACAGGGGGAACTTCTGAAGCTTCCCTCTCCCTCTGTTGTTGAATGTTGGTGTGATAATTTATTTTTTTATCACTGATAAAACAAACAACTATAAAACTTGCACCAGACATACGGAAATAATAACGAAACAATTTCGAAACAATTACGAAATAAAATTTAAAAATTCGTTTTGATTTTAAGTTGCTCCTGAATGGTTCGATATCGCTTCGTTATCAAAAAAAATAACGAATTAATAACGAATTACGAAATTAACGAATGAAACCGCCCAGCCCTAGTATCTATCTGTTGTGATTCTTTTCTGTGAATCTTGGGTAATTGTCTGTGCTCATAAATCCTGTTTCATTATCTCTTATCACTTTTCATACCCATTGTTCCGTTCCTGGTAATTCTTTTGATTTTCATTTTTGGGCATATGTTATTCTAGCTGCTTTTGTTAAATAGTAGAATAATTTGTCTTCATTTTTTCTATTTCAAAGTAAGCAATTTCAAGTAGAAAGTACTCAGGTTTAATTTGAGTCTGCACACCTAATATTTTTTTAAATTTTCTCATATATTTCTTTCCGGTATGTGATAAAGAACCCGGTACACTCTTCGCACTTCCAACATTTGTTTGCAGTATTTAGGAAATATTTCGAGTTTTTTTGGATGTTAAATACCATTGGTCCATCATTTTATACCAGTTTCCCTTCAACTCATACGAATATGTGTATTTTAATTTTTTGTTCCACATTTTCCCATTCTTCCATCCTTATTGTGTGCCCTATATTTGCATCCCATTTGACCATGAAATCTTTAATCTGTTCTTCTTCTGTTGAACAGTCCAAAAGCATCTGATATATTTTCGTAATCCATTTCTTTTGTTAAAAAAAGGTTTTGAATAAAATGAAGTTGAAAAACTCATTTCTCTGACAATACTAGTCAGTTGAATATGCTGAAAGGAGGTGCTTTAGGAAGCTTTTATAACAGATTGAGGTGCTTTTTAGTTTAAATCTTTTCTGGTTTGGCTGGAATAGATGCTTTGCCTATTATTTACATAGTGTTACTGTTGAAAAACAGAACAGTAAAAGTACAGCCAGTCCTCAATTTATGTGAGGGATAGAGGCTCAGGATTCCCATGAAAGTGGGGGAAATTAATATATTAACATCCTTCCCCCTGAAGAAACCATGCATGCTACAGACTTTCCTCCAAACAGCCATGATCTATCCCTCCCTTTTCCACCTTAGCATCACAATGCCTCTGTTGGACCTCCATTGCCTCTGCCTCCTAAGGTTAAAGGCATTATTTGCAGTAACTTACTCTCTTCACTGTCCTTCTCTGTTTCCATTCCTGCTTGCCCTATTAGTATTTATCCAAACAATGCTGTCTTTAGGATATTTGTCCTGATTGTTGATTTTCTCATATCTTCCAGATGAGACAATTGTTTTATCTGACAGTGAAGAGGAAGATGTTGTGATCCTCAAACCAGAAGTGACAAACAAAAACAGGTAATCTCTTGGAACTTTCCCCCCACCCCCTCCCAGACTATTGTATTTTAACAGAAAAAATATTCTGACCCAGCCTATATTCCCTTGCTAGTAGTCTTGCATGAACTTCAGTTAATGGCTCTTGACCAGTGATTGGGCCAAAGCATTCTTTCTCCCACTATTCTAAATATTTTAACTGGCATGGAATAACCAAAAGATCTCTCCAGCTACTCTATCTAGGGTTATATTGCCATCATTCTTGCAGTCATGTTACTTACTCCTGGGAAGTAGTGGCAGCCTGACAGTAGAATTAGGTCACCAGAGTGCTGTTTCTTGTAAATTAAAAATGAATGTGGGACCGGGATGGCAGCTCCTAAAGCATAATGTTTAATTAAGCATGTATAATACAATATATAACTTCCATTGTCTTCAACTACACAGAAATGTTGATTATAGAAAATTCAACATTATGATGGCCTAGGCATTATTCCCATCAGCAAATATTTTGACGACTTCAGACCACCTTTAAAAGGGGGGGGGGGGGTTGTTGGTTCTTAAAGTAGTAGGAAACAAGGCATAGAGGAGCATATATCATGAAGGTGGAAACCCAGGGTTACTTTAGCCTCTCACAGAACACCCTGAACAGCCAGTTTGTGAAAAAGAACTTTTTTTCCGCTTAAGGATCTCCAACACCTCAGGGATAAAGAGAGTTTTGCTTTATTTTTGGCTTCAGATGTTTTATCCAACAGGAAGCGATCTAGAAATCAACATTCTGGCCCTCAAGGAGTCCTGATGCATATGACATTGCTATATATATCCCCAGGGTGCATAAGTTTTGAAAAAAGTTTTTAATGTCAGAAGCGGCTTGGGAGTATACTGTAAGTTGCTGCTGGTATGAGGGAATTGGCCGTCTTCAAGGACGTTGCCCAGGGGACACCCAGATATGTCATCATCCTATGGGAGGCTTCTCTCATGTCCCTACATCAGAAGCTGGGGATGACAAACGGGAGCTCACCCTTTCGTGGAGTTCAGGTCAGGAGTTCAGCCAGCACAAGGATTTAACCTGTTGCACCACTGTGACTCCCAGTTTTGAAATGGCCCTGGAAGACTGGATGCCACCCTCCACCCCTGTATATGCTTGGTTGCAATCAAAGCATTACAGAAAATTAAGATATTGTCCAGGTGTGAGGTCATGATAGATTTGTTTTATGCATGCTTAAATTCCTTCTCCCTGCAGAACAGAGACCTCTCCCAAACAAGACACAATGAGTAAAAAAACAGGTGGTAAAAAGAAGAAAAAAAGAGCTACTAAATAAATGAGTGGATCATATTTTTGTAATTTGACTTTTGTGCCCAAAACCAGTGTTCCCTTATATGTAATAACATAGTTTATGTTGCTGAAAAAATTGTAATGGTGCATCTGTTTTATATATATATGTGCATTTTTCTAATAAAGTTTTTATTGGTCTGTTTCTATGTTGTTAAAACATTAATTTGCTTGACCATAATATTTAATTAAAATCATTTTGATGCTATAACCCTTGTAAAATCCATACAAGCATCCTCTATATATCTGTGGAGCCATTTATGCCAGGATCATGTGTAGTTTATTTATTTACAGTATTCACCCTGAAGGGGATTCAGGGCGGTTCATAGAACACATATATGGCAAACATTCAATGCCAATTATACAACAGATAAAGGTATATTTAGGCTTTTTTTCATCATTTTGCATCTTTTGGAAGCTGTATTCTGTTCCAGTCACGGGGCTGCAGTTTCTTTGTTCGTAAACTTTTCTTCAAAATGCCATGCCTAAAATACCTCCCGGCCTAATGTGGTTCCTATTCATCTACTCACATTGCTGTTTTCAATCTGTTAAGTGGGCAGGGGAGCTGGGCTGAAGGTCAGGAGCTCACCCTGTCCTGGCTTCAAACTGTCAACCTTTCACCAGATTTACTGCAGCTGGTGATTAACCTACTGTGTTAGCTCCCCCCCCTTCCCCAAGTTTCCTGACAGTAGCAGTAGGGAGTGGAACAAGATGTGTATTAATGCACTATTTTTACTTCTGTGTGATATAAAAAGTTCAACATGAGCAGTGAAGTGGTAGTAAAGACAAGAGTTGACATATCTATATATATGTTACCTTCAATTTCTTTTGGCGCATATGAGAAGTTGTTTTTGACTGTGCGAGCTATAAGCTTCACTATAAGCTTCACTTAACCAATGGTTAAGAATTTATGGCTGGAATTTGTTCGTTATTATATACACTTTGATACATCTGTAATTTTTGGACATTGTGACAGAGACATTTAACACTCCTTGCCTGATAGTTGTCCTTTAGGAAGTTTTTCTACTTGCCCACAACATGTAAGCTTTCGACATTTTATTGAAAATGCTTTTTAAAAGTGTCAACAGCCTATATCCTACACTAGAAAAAATACATTTATTCTTGTGCTGAACTATCCTTCAGTATATTCAAAAGAACTTAAATGCAACACCCCGGGACTTAAAAGCCTTCTCACTGCTTTACCATGTTCAAATGCAAAAAACCACAATCCATGAAGCTAGATGAATTGAGAAGGATGTATAAAACACGAGTCTGCAGCCATTATGCTAGCTTGAAATCTTACCACTATTGTAGAAAAATGCACAGAAGCAGCAAGGCTTTTATGTGTGGCAATATGCTGTGATTGTTATGTATTGTTCAGGAACAACACATCTAGGCAGCACACAGCTACCCTTTTGTTGCCATAAGACCTAAGGTTGCTTTTTCAGACCTTCAGCTACTTCCTGGAGATATGGAAAGGCATTTTATGTCTATGTACCCCTTCTGAGCAAGGCGCTTCCAGTGTAGAGCTGCCCATCTCCCGCCTAGACATTTACATTGCTATAGAAGAGAATATACAAACTCTTGATTTTGAGCATTTCATCCTCAGACTGCACAAGTCTCTTGTGTCATCAAGTTTGCAGACCTCAATGAGTAGCTAGACTAGAGATAGGATTGGGCCGACGGATTCCTCCCCTGCCATTCCTATGAATGTTTCTTAAAAGGACTTTGTCTGTACTCTTCCTCCTAGTCACTGTCTCCTCCCCTCTGATGATGTAGTAATGGAATTTTGTGAGGGAACTTCCTTTTTAAAAGGTATTTTTATTGTCCTGGGCTGGCCATTCGCCATTTTCCAGTCTCTTCTGCTTTTCTTTCTCCCTATGAGGATGCAAATTTTGCCTCTCTTTTGGCAAAATGTAGCTGCATGGATTTTTTTTTACCCCTGTGCCTCTTTAGATGAGATTTAGTAAGGTAGTTAGTTCCAAAACCGTTTCTATCTAGAATGTATTTATTTTACTTCAATAAATATTTTTGAACCTGAAGTTCTGACTCTGCAATCTGTGCAATCCTAAGATACAGAAGGTTATCCCAGCTTATCACATGTAAATTTCTGCTGGTTATGAAGTTTACTTCTGGTACTCCACTATATTTTTGATGGAATTGCCCCAACTGAGGGTTATTTTTGAGCCTAACAGCTCAGATTCCCCAACAGATATGTTGCACACTTTATTGTGCTAAGACAAATGTGTTATGGCTGAGGGTGGGAAGGAGCAACAGACAAAAGCTCTTGGGAACATTGTTCTCCAAGTAAGAACTGGGTGAAAGTACTTTGTTTTGATACAAAAGCTCTCAGGCTGTGAAACCAGACTTATTGCCTCACTTATAGTATAACTTGTATGAGTATTGACTATATTTGCTTTATACAGTTAAATTGCTACTGAGTCCCTTTTGAAGGATTTTATTGACCAGTTTCAAGATGGTTTACACTTAAGTCTTTCCAGGCATTGGTTTATCATGAGCACATCATATCAAGCAGTGTTACATTTGAATCCAATTCTATTTCAATATGAATAAAAAGTTCATCATGCTTACAGTTTAGACCTTAAGCTAGGATTAAGTTTGAACAAGACATTCCATACTTCAACTTGCCCAAAACAATTTTGTCCACATCAAGCCTTTTGTCCATTATACAAGTTGCCCATATTAGGGCCTGTGCCTACCTGTATCTGGGATATAGGATGGTACGCTCCCAAGGCAGCAGTTTGGTCAAAGCTACCTCCATGTGCTAACTAGCAGTTCTGCATTACCTCTAGGATTGAATACATTTGTAGGTCAGGAACTCTGCATGCGCAGAGGATGCTGAGTCCCAGTTTATAACCTCAGTAAGTATACGACAGGAATTCTTTTCAGAAAAATAAACTAGCTGTGACCTGTTTTACAGGAGGTCCACCTCTTCGACCCAGACTCAACTGCTGTGGGTCTGAGTGAAAGCTATTAATGCAGTGACTTAGAAAACCTCTTTAATAGCATACAGTGAGGGGTACTACTCTTGGCAGCGGAAACAAATATCTAGCAGCCAGGTTAAATTCTCTAACAGCAGTGCTATAGTAGCCTCACTTTCAAGTTCTGAAGGTACTAGGCACTAGCCGACTTTACTAAATACGTAATCACAACTTAATTATATATATGGAGTCAGCAGAGGGAACAGAAACTTTGCCATCTTGTATGTGCATATCAACTCCATTGCACCATCTTGATTTGTCATTTACAGCCAGAATCCCCACCGACACTGCTCTTTTAAAAAAAAAAGTTGAAAAATGACACCCAAACGGTGTCCCGGCATGGTTTTCAGTCTGTTTCACCAGAACTTTAAAAGGAGCATCATCTAAGTACTTGGAACAAGATTGCATGTACAAAAGTTTACATTAAAACATTATAAAAGTTTAAAAAAAGACCCTCATAATTTGCTATGGTAATATACCAGAGTGATCAAAGTCTAAATACAATTTTAAAACTGTACATTTACCCTTTGAGGCACTATACACCTTTGACATTTCAAGTCTCAGTTGATTGTTATAGGTTTAGTCTCTCTGGAGGATCAATAAGTGATACCGCATTGTACCTGGAAAAAAGAAAAAGTATTTACGTGAACTCTTATTTCTGCCTTCCATTATTTTGATCATACTCTGTTATCAGCTGTATTATGAAGCAATTATTTGAAGTTTAACTACAGAGCAATTAAGGAGCAGCTGCAGTCCTAGTCCCATACTTACTTGACAGCCTTGTATTTCTCCCGTATAGACTGTTGAGTATGTTGTGCAGCTCTGCAGTAGGTTTTGTGGAGGTCTGTGATGCAAGGCTTAAGATCTTCCATTGTGTATCCTGTCACTTTGGTGAGAGCATCCGTCTACAAAAAAGGTCAAGTATGTACTTAGGAGTTTTCCATGTCAACATAGGACTTTCCATGATTAAAATATTTCTTCTATGTGACTATCCTGAATTTTGACAGTATAGTACTATAGGGAAAAACAGTTACTATACTCCCAACTCAACAGAAAATGGAATGTTGGTGGACAGGAAAAGCTTTAAAGGTGGGCTTAAAGCTAAGCATAAAAACGGTGGTATAGACACTGAGAACTGGGAAGTCCTGGCCCTTGAGCGCTCTAGCTGGAGGTCTGCTGTGACCAGCAGTGCTGCGGAATTCGAAGAGGCACATATGGAGGGAGAAATGTGCTAAGAGGAAGGTGTGTCAAGCCAACCCTGACCGGGACTGCCTTCCACCTGGAAACCAATGTCCTCACTGTGGAAGAACATGCGGATCGAGAATAGGGCTCCACAGTCACCTACATATTCACTGCCAGGACACTACACTTGAAAGGCCATCATACTCAAACAATAAGGGATCGCCTAAGTGAATAGGGAAAGCTTAGGCAGCAAGGAGTGTGAGACTTATTTTCTCCTTGTATAAATTAATTACTCTGAATGCTGCTAAGAATTTAGAATACTTGATTAAGGGGCACAAGAGCATGAGTCCACCTTTGTGTAGTTTGAACTTAATTAGAGTGGCATTAATTTATTGTCCAATGAATCTATGCTAGAAGACCTGATCTAGGTCTTTCTGGGAAGATAATTTCTTTCATCTCCATTAAGCATGAATTTGATCATGGCCGCAGGAACGGAAAATATCAGGACATGAAATGCTCTAATAAATATATAGGACAGGCGTCAAAGGTAGAACAATTATGACTTTGAAACTGAGCAAAACTGAGACTGAATCTTCGTTTTGCTCAAAAAGGACACAGTATCTTACAATGACAAAAGCCTATAAATTCTAGGCAGATGAATTAAATGCATTTTCTGTATGTTCATGTGTGCCTCAAGCACAAGGCAACTGATTATCTCCTTCAATGCCCAATTAATGTTTATATTGAGTTCCGACATCTAGGACATTTAGAAAGAGCATATTTTAAGAACTCAGGATGCAATTACACTGCAGATTTACTGCAATTTTAACTGTGAAACCATTGGAGCTGTGGTTTTACAAGACCTTTAGCCTTTTCTGCCAAAGAGTGCTGGTGCTCCACCAAACTACGAATCACAGGATTTCATAGCATTAAGTCATGACAGTTGAAGTGGCGTCAGACT